CCTCTCACCGCGCTGTCACCCTCCCGTTCGTGGCGCAGAGCGTGAGCAGCTTCAGGCGGAAGCGAGCGAGCGCTTCGCCGCCGGCTACATCCAGTGCATGCATGAGGTGCACACGTTCGTGTCCACGTGCCAGGCCATCGACGCCACAGTCGCAGCCGAGCTCCTGAACCACCTGCTGGAATCCATGCCGCTGCGTGAGGGAAGCAGCTTCCGCGATCTGCTGGGGAATGCCCTGGCCAGGCCAACTGGAGCCCGGTGCTCCCCGCTGCCCAGCCCCTCTGCTCCTGTGGATGACCTGTGCTCCGACCCAGAGGTGGTCCCTGAGGCCGAGCTGAGTGCAGCGCCTGCTGAGGGGCAGGACTTGGTGCCCGCAGCCCTGAGCAGCCCGACGACGGCCCAGATATCCCAGGGTATCTGGAGACCCTGGTGACTAAGGCCTCTGGTGGGCGGCTTGAGGGAAGCCCTTGATGCCCAGCCTTGAGGCCCCTAGACCTGTTTCCTGAGGGAAGCACTTTAATAGACCCTACAGCTGTGGGCTGGGTAGGTGAAGGGGCTGCCAGCCCAGGAGGAATTGGTTAGAGCTGCCATTTACCCGTCCCAGCCTTCCCAGATACTCTGTGGCTCTGGCAGAGGTGACAGGAGAGGTGTTCTTTCCTGAGAACTGGGCATGAGTGCGTGTCCTGGGCAGGGACACTCAGGCCCTGACAGTCCTGGCCTCAACAGCAGCTTAAATTTGCCACTTCAGGCAGGAGACCAGGGGAGGCAGGCACATCTTGAAGCAGCACTCAGAGCAGCTCTGTACAGGCTGGTTTGTAGCGCACTTGTTTGTGTACTTGGTTGCCATAGAGTGTTCCAATTGAATTAAAGATTAAGGATTAGTTATCTTTGCGGTATCTCTGGTGTGGTCATTAATGTTTCCAGGTGTGCATGCTATAAACTGAACTCTCACCCCCATGTGATGCTAATGGGTGTTTTTTAAATCCTCACGATTCATCACCATCACCGGACTGGTGATGGAGCCTGCCAATTGCTGGGCAGGTTCTCAGGCCTGGCCTCCTCTCCCTGGAATTGTGTGAGTCCATTGGCCTGAGGTTTCCTACAGGATAACAGCGATAAGGAAGTGGCCCATCCCTCTATTCTCTTGCTCACCAGCTTCCAGGGAATAATGGCATTAATGCCTACCTGCTGGCCCTGGCTCAGAAGTGTTTTTCAAAGACCTCGTTTAGAATCAAGAAACACATCAGTCTACTTGGGTTAGGCTGTCACTTTTCTTGACTCAGGGAGCCTTCCCTTGGTGCCAGTGACTTCAGGGACCAGGACACCCACATAGACTATGGCTTGAAGTGACAGTGCCATGGTTCCAGGTAGCTCAAACCTGAGGTCAACTGGACTCAGGAGGTCAGAACCCTCAGGGTCAGAGTGAGGGGCAGCTAGCAGCAGTCGCTGCCAAGGTGAGCCCATCCCCCCTGCTCCAGGACCCCAAAGCAGCTTATTCTCGCTCTGGGATGACACTGCCTAGGCAGGGCCCAGATGTGAGGATGGAGGACCAATGCCCAGGTCTTCTCCTGGACCGTGTGCCTGTTTCAAGAGCACCTTTCTCAGCTTCTCCTTTATGAATGCTCCCACCAGAGGTATTTAAGATCTGGGGCTTCACCCTGGCTTCTCTGCCAGTCTGTTGTAGACCTCAGCTGCTGTTAATTTTGGCAACAGGCTGAGTTGCAGGAGTGGGGGGAGGATCCACGAGAGGAACAGAGGGATCGGAATGTTGTTTCTAGGGTTCTTTCATCACCCCCCAACAGAATGAAGCAGTGGCTATAGGGACACAGATGGGTAATGGGTCCTTCTGTGAGGCCTCTGGCTCCTGTGGCTCTCACACCTGGAGGCCGCCACCCTGAGCTCCTGTGCCATCTGGGTAGCATTTTCCTGGATGAAGGGGCAGGAGGCTGACCTGGGGGAAAGTGCTGATGGGACTAGGACCTGCCATGGCGAGAAGCCTTAGACCCAGAACCCAGGCCCTGTGCCCCTCTAACCTGGTAGCAGCCTCTAATCTTCAGGGGCATCACTGAATCACTGATGTGTCAGAGGTGTGTTCAACTAAACACAACCCCCCCACACTAGTGAGTGTCTTTGGGATTCTCCGCCCTCCATCAGCGAAGTCCACAGTGGGATGGGGATAGCTGCCACGGTGCTACTTTCGCCCGTGGCACAGCCTGGCACCACCAGTTTCCCACTCTGCCAGTTATTTCACACTCCTCCCAATGCTCCCTTGTGGGTGTCCTGCTAGGCAGTGATGGCCTACTCACTCCACTTACGTGACCCTCTATCAGTTTTCTGTGGTTGTCCCAGTAAAAGATCACAAGTGTGGTGGCTTAAAACACTTTTATTATTAGCCAGTTCCATAGAAATCCCACACGGGAGCCACTAGGATCTAATCAATGTTACCAGGCAGTGCTGTCCCTTTCTAGAAGCTGAGGGTAACCCATTTCCTTACCTCTTCTTCCTTCAGAGGTCACCCACCATCCCGGGCTGATGGCCCCTTTCTCAACCTTCAAAGCCCGCCCCATGTCCATCTGGTTGTCACATCTAATCCTCACTCCTGTCTCCTTTTTACTTCTACTTTCAGGGGCCCGTGATTCCACCTGGATAACCCAGGATAATCCCTAATTTCAAGGTCTGTAGCTTAATCCTCAGTCACATTTGCACAGTGCATCTTGCCATGTAAAGCGACATATTCAGTAGTTCCGGAGATTAGGAGGTGGACCTGGGGAGGCAGCACTATTCTGCCTACCACACCCACCGGGCAGCCTGGACCAGGCACTCTGCTTTCTGTCTACCTCTCCCCCTTTCTCTGCAAGCAGAATTCTTCCAGCGCATTGCCGTCCACCTCCACACCTCTTTTCCCCAATCAGGGACTGAAAGCCAAGGCCACGTCCATCTTTCCCAATCCAGCTGTCGTGTTCCAGTTCCAGCTCAGCCTCTCCTGGGTTCTCATCCCTCCTTCTGGGAACTTCCTTCAGCCCCCAGAGGGCTGTACTGACCACGGTCCATTGCAGCCTCCCCGTGGACCTCTGTTTGTTCACTCCTAAAAGTGGGCATGTCGGCCCCGCCTGTGCCTCCTGTACTCACCTCTTCACCTGGTTCATCCCTCTCCAGCCTGCTGGCTCCCCACATTCTCCTGCCCTCTCAGTGTCCCCTCAAACTTACCAAGGACACCATTGATCCTCGCCCCCAAAGGCACTGCGGCTTTCCCAGATGTCGGCACTCCTCGCAAAGTCTTGAGGTCGCACTCAGTTTCTTTCTCTTAGCACCCAGCCCATGACCTCTAGGTCACCAGTCTTCGCTGCCATCGAGAGTCGAGGGCAGTCTGGTTCTAACCTGGGCGCCTTGGCGGCCTCTGACCGCGCGCATGCCCTGTTCTGCCTCAGGCTTTCGCAAGGGACCCGAGAGCCGGGACCGAGCTGTTTGGCTCAACGCCCCGTACCCCAAAATTGAGCCCTTCGGCACTCCCCAGAGTGGGATTTGGGAATGAGGGAGCCTGAGCTTCACAGCTGTTGAAAGGCGGAATTCCGCAGCACCCCGCTTCCGGGATGCTCGGAAGCGCTCGGAACTGCTCGGCGGAGCCTAGGCCTTGGCCACGCCCTATCCAGTCTCAGCCGACCTGAGGCACCCGCGGGGCCTCCTGGGAGATGCAGTTCCGGCCCGCTCCCAGAGCCCTCTGCGGCCAG